GTGGAGAGGAAATGTTTTGAGAATGATGAGGGTAATGAATGTACAAATGCGCTTTACACAATTGCTGTGTGTATGGATTGTGATAAGAGTTGTATGAGCCCCTAGTAAAATGATCAAATAAATAAATAAATAAATAAATAAAATAAAAATGCAAACAAAAGAAGAAAAATGGTCAAGAAATGAACATGTATTTACAGAAAAGGATGCAGCTCAACCCCCTGCCCCAAGCACGCACGCACACACACGTAAACATACACACACAAAACAGCATAATTTTTCTCCATCAGATTTTTAAAAACCAAAACAAACAAAGAAAAAATCTGCCCAAGCCCCTAATATTTGCTGAGGCCTGAGTATGGGGAAGGTAAATATGCTGAGCTCCAGAGTGCTCTTGGGCAACAACTAGAAAAATTCAAGATGTCTCCGCCGCTGACCTAGAAACCCCACTCTGGTTTTCACCCACGAGACCAATGTGGGTGGCACGGAGCGCCCCTGCAGTGCCCCTTACCACGGTTGCCTGTTAGAAGTCTGAAAAGCACACCTTTGAAGTAGTTAGTGGTGCCCTGGGCTGACGGGAAAGTGTAAGCAAACTGATGGTAAAATATTTGCTTAATGTCACCCAAAGTGTCAGGTTCCCTGGTGTTGGTCTGTCACTGCCTGCTGAATTCTGTGTTTTCTGTATCTCAAGGGAGTTGTCTTGAGGAAAACATTTACCCACTCACTTTCAGCTGACCTGTGAGGAATGCCTTATACGCTCATAACAACAATTAGTTATTTTAAAATAGGACAAGCCCCACTTAAATTTTTATATAGCCCAGGGATACATTTCTTGATTTCTTGGGTCATTTTTCCAAGCTTTTATTTTTGATTTCTGTTTGCAAAAGGAAGCAAGCCATAAATAAAACTTAAATCTGTGTTGTCTTCATTTGATCCAGGCCTTCCTACTCCTGCCCCCAAATGTCCACCCTGACTTCCCGTTCCTCCTTAGGGCAAACACTGTGTCTAGGCCTCACGCACCTAAGCTAGCCGAGATCCCACCTCCCTGAAGCCTGCTCCAACTTCTGCTCAACCGTGTCACCTGTCACAGGATAGAATCCACCCTTATCCACATCCCAGCACACACAGTGACCCTCTAGGACACGGTGGGACGGCCCCTGTGAGTTTCTGAGCCCAGGGCTTTTGACAGGGATAGAAAGCTCCACCTTTCTCCTGTGGGCGGCTGGTGGTTTCAGACTGCTGACCTTGCAGTTAGCAGTGCAGGGCATAACCGCTAAGCCATCAGGGCTCCTGGGTAGATACCTTGATAAAACCCTTGCCTTTCATGCACGCCGGGAGGCCCAGATTCCATGCCTGTGTCAGCGGGGCGGTGAGCTGCTCTGGTGCTGACCAGTTCCAGTGAGGCTTCCAGACTCAGATAGACTAGGAAGTTGGCCCAGGGATCCACTTCTGAAAATCAGCCAGGGAACCCCCGGTGGATTACAGTGGCCGATCCAGCTGACCATCGGGAAGGTGCTGGGCGGGCCGGCTTTGGGCTCCAGGGTTGTCAGGTGCTGGGCTCATCTACAGCACCTAGCAACAGGTGGGACTAGCACTTAGGGAACATGAGAGAAAGTAGAAGAGGAGCTCTATTTCTGACAATCCGGGCGGTTTCTTAAATGCTTTGTGTCTCTTGCACAGGTGGCAAAGAAACGCAGCACGATGTCTGGAAATACAACTCCTCCATCAACAAATGGATTCAAATCGAGTATTTAAACATCGGCCGCTGGCGGCATAAGATGGTGGTGCTGGGTGGCAAGGTCTATGTGATCGGAGGTTTTGATGGGCTTCAGAGGCTCAACAACGTGGAGACTTACGACCCCTTCCACAACTGCTGGTCGGAGGTAGGGACGACGCCCATGAGTTACTCTGTGTTTCTTACTCAGAGCTTTAAAAAATCAGGTATATACCGAGAGTGGCAGCTGGCCTCTGGTGTCCCTGCCACTGAGAGCATTGGTGGTGGCTGCCCTCCTTGTCGTCACGTCCCGCCAGCACTGCTGTTGCTGTCACAGAATGACGTCCTTCCGCGTGGTGAGGCTCTGTGTAGACTCCTGGCCTATCCTGGGTAGACGCTATAGGAAGCTTACCTGGCTGCCTAGATCCCGTGGTCTGCATTTACCTTGACCCAGGGACTCTGTCTCCTCAGACGCCCTCTGCTCTTTCCTTCTCCCCACTGAACACACAGGCATCCTTCTTTGTGCTGCTTGTTGGATCCCAATCACTTGGGATTGGATCCCAATCACATACCAAACAATTCCTCAACATGACCTCAGTTATATCTCATGGCCAGCAAAAGAGAAAAATGATTTCATTTCCTGCATTGGCAGGCTCTCTCCAGTTTCAAGTTCCCTTCTCCCAATCAGATCGCAGAGTGTAAACATGGTCACTGCAGGCGTACGCCAAAGTAGCCAGCTTACCACAGCATTCACCCGAGATGGGCAACTTGAGAGGTGCGGAACACCTGCTCCTCACTAGTGACAGGGCGAGGTTCCAAAGAACCACGATGGTATCAGAAAACCAGAGTTACGCAAAAATGGAGAGTCACTGCAGCTGATCATAAAGTGGAGGATGATGGCATCGTTACGTAACCGCCAAATCATGTCATTATGTAACTGCCAGCTTTCAACATTACATGACTGCCATGCAACTGAGAATTGTGGTCCAGCCAAGTGGAGACCCAGCTGCAACCATCACAGCCAGCGTTCCTCTCACCTGGCACCTTAGCACTCATTACTGCCAGGTGTACGTTGTTAATACATGGAACAGTTGGATGGTAGACTTTTTACTATCATTGTCCGTGGGAAATGTTGGAGAATGAGATAGTTGGTAAGTGGAGACTACATGCACATGTGACCAGTTGCTGTCAATTCTGACTCACGGTGATCTCGTGTGTCAGAGCAGAGCTGTGCCGCATAAGGTTGTTAAGACCTGATTTTTAAAAAAAGTGACCGTCAGGCCTTTCTTCCAAGGGCCTTGGTGGCAGAGTGGTTATGAGTTGGGCTTCTAACCACAAGGCCAGCAGTTCAAAACCACCAGCTACTCCAAGGGAGCAAGACTGGGTTTTCTACACCTGTAAACAGATACAGTCTCAGGGGATTGTTATGAGTCAGTGTTAAAACTCAATGGCAGTGAGTGAGTTTTTCCAAGGCACCTCGAAGTGGGCCTAAACAGCTAATCTTTCGATTAGCAGCCAAGCAGTAGCCATTTATGCTCTCGAGAGTCCTGGACATGTGTAAGGGATGTGCCCAAGGTTTTCTCAAATCTCCAAGTTCCATTGCAGAGTTGCTCCATCATCCAAGAGCACCAGGTAGTGGGCAGGAGGCTCTGGAAAGCCCACGCAACCCCCTCCGCCCAGTGTCCTGGAGTTCACAGGGTAGACCCACAGCCTGACTCAGTCCCAGAGTCTGCAACAGAAAACAGGAGTGTCCACTTGCCTTATTTCTACCAACTCTTCTTCTGGGGTATGATACCATTTTCTTCCTGGCGTTTAACAGGCATTCAGCAAACAGGTTTTGAATGAATGAATGTTTGAAAAAGCATCTCTTCCAGCACCGGCTGGCCTCAGCATTACAAGCGATTGTACCCACATATCACCCACCCCTGAGAGCTGGGCTCTGGGAAAACAGCTTGGAAACACCTCAACAGAGTCGGCTCCAGCCTGCCCAGGTCCTGGAGACAGGGTGGGACATGTGTGGCTGGATCTTCTCTATGGCTCAAGGGGTGTCAGGTCCACAGGTCTTGGGACTTTCGACAAAGGATAACGAGTGTCGTGTCTCTGTGGCTTCTGGTCTCTGGCCTGTGAGCCCCTTCGGCACTCTGGGCAGCAAGACTGACCGCTTCTTCTTATGTCCCATGCCTCTGCAGGCTGCGCCCCTTCTTGTCCATGTCAGTTCTTTCGCGGCCACCAGCCATAAGAAGAAGCTGTATGTGATCGGGGGAGGGCCCAATGGAAAACTAGCCACAGATAAGACGCAGTGTTATGACCCTTCAACCAATAAGTGGAACTTAAAGTCGCCCATGCCAGTGGAGGCGAAGTGCATCAATGCAGTGAGCTTCCGGGACCGCATCTATGTAGTCGGTAAGTGAGGGAGGGGTTTCGTTTTCAACCACCACAGTCCCGGAGCAGCCTGCACGTGGATCATCAGACAACCCCTCCTGGGAACTCACATTCCTGGGTGATGTTGGTGGGGTGTAAATGAGATTGGTTCGGGCAGGCCTTGGAGAAACCCGCTCATCCCCGCTGAGTTATACAGACCAGCTTGGCATGCTGTGGCCTGGGGCAAGAGCCAGAGGTTGCTCCAGGAACAGTGTTGTGTGGTAAGCATTAGCAAGGACACATACGTGGAAATGTGCCCCGTGTAATAAAAACCTGTTGTTTTTGAGTTGGTCCTAACTCCTGGGGCCCCAGGTGTGTCAGAGGGCAACTGAGAGCCGGAGGATTTTCAATAGCTGGGTTTTCAAAGGAAGATCCCCAGGCCTTTATTCCAAGGCACTTCTGGGCTGACGCGCGCCTCCGATCTCTTAGTTAACAGCCAAGCATGTTAACGACTTGTACCACCCAAGGAATCAGCATTCAATAAAGGGTAGCTGGCCCTGCTGGGGAAGCCACCTGTTGCTCGGTGGGAGAAAGATGAGGCGGTCCGATTTCGGGAAGATGTACAGGCTTGGAAACCAGCAGGAGCCACTCAGCTCTGTCCTGTAGGGTCCTTGGGACGGACTAGATGGCAGTGGGTTGGGTTTGGGGCTCTGAAGAGTTGCATTTAGCCTGGAGGGAATGCTGGTCAGGCCAGCTCACAGCAGCCTATACCTGTTCAGAATCATGGTGCTCAGGTTGGACAAGCCATTAGGATCACCCGGGGCGTGTTTGGAGCCGCTGGGTGGTACAAGTGGTAAGGCTGGTGGTGAGAACCCATCCTGAGGTGCCTCAGAAGTAAAGCCTGCTGGTCACCTTGAGAAAGGTCAGAGCCACGAATTCCTGTGGGAGGGTGGTTCTCATCTGAAGCCCCTGGGGTCTCCGCTAGCCGGGATTGACTCAAAGGCAGCTCGCCTGGTTTTTACAAGAAGAGGACACTGGCAGTGGTTCAAATATGCATGCTTACGCATACGTCTAGTTAAATATGTCTACTCACAGCTCCAGAGGATGTGATCGTGCAGCCAGGGTTGAGAACTACCGGTGCAGGAGTTGCCAGGAATTGAATCATTCTGATGAATGAGAGTTCATGAGAGGCCATTGAGGAAAACACATATTCCTTTCTCGCCTCCTGTTTCATGCGGGCTATTTTATGGTCAGCTTCGTGAGTCTGCTAGAAGTCTAATCTCAACCCCATGGGCCCCCATCTCTAGCCAGCACCCAGGATTGCTTCTATGCCCCAGGCCTCTGTCCTGTGGGCCTTCTAATTGTCTTAGCGCCACTATTATGGTCTTGGTGTTCAAGGTCACAGATTAAGTAATGGTAGTTACTGGGCTCCTGAGGTGATCCCATCAGCCTCCCAGGTGGTATTTGCTCAGGGAACAGGCCATCTTTGGGCAGCTGTGGTAAATCAGGCAAGCCTGATGAGCACCTGGCTGCGTTTTTAAAGGTATGGGGAGTGTCTCCACATTAAAGTCTCTCTGCCCCCAGGAGCCCCCACCTGGCTTTCTGGCGCCATCAGAGCTACTGTTTGTCTTGAGAGGGAGGTAGTGCTGCCTTAGTCAGGAGGAGGGGCTTAGACGAATGTTCTCGTCCCTCTAGGCGGGGCCATGCGCGCGCTGTACGCCTACACCCCCTTGGAGGACAGCTGGTGCCTGGTGACCCAGCTCAGCCACGAGCGCGCCAGCTGCGGCATCGCCCCCTGCAACAACCGGCTCTACATCACCGGGGGGCGCGACGAGAAGAACGAGGTCATCGCCACCGTGCTCTGCTGGGACCCCGAGGCCCAGAAACTGACCGAGGAGTGCGTCCTGCCCCGCGGGGTGTCCCACCACGGCAGTGTCACCATCCGGAAGTCCTACACCCATATCCGGCGGATCGTGCCCGGAGCCGTGTCTGTGTGACGGGGGCGGGGCGGGGGACCCCCTGGCGGAGGACCCCCCCTGGCCCCTGGCCGCCTGGCCTCTCCCTTCCTGCTTCTCAGTTCCCCCCTGCACTTCAGACTGCAGACCGCAGGCCCGACCTGAGTTTGGGGGCTCATCGGAGGCTCACCCTGACTTCTCGTGCGTCGCAGCCTGGAGACCCCAAGACCAGCCAGGAAAGCCGGCCTGACCTACCTCTGCAGAGCCAGGTTAACCTCAGGAAGCACGCGTGGTGTGCTGGCTGGCCGGCTGGCCAGTGACCTGCTCACTGGGGGCCCTCGCTCCTGCTACACAGACAGGAGAGGGGATGTCAGAGACGTGAAATGACCAGTCCTGGTCGCGCAGGTGAACTCACCCAGCTAAGAGGCCCTGGCCTTTTTCCAGAGCAAACGGCGCCCTGTCCACAGCGCTGCTGCCCAGCGCATGGCAGCCGAGCACCGAGCGCACCTTTTGTTTCCGCAGATCTGTGGCCAAAGGAGCCACTGAGCAAGGCAGTGGGAGGAGCGGGGGTAGAGGGGTTCACCTCCGTTATTTAAACCACTTGCAACTCTTGGTGTTGAGGCTAGGCTCGAGAGAAGCTTGGGGTCTCTTCCATTGGACAGGTCTGGGGAGACGCAGCTGGAAAGGTCTGTTAGAGAGCAAAAACCTGGAGAAACACCCCCCCACCCCAATCCCAGACCTGCCCTTGCTAGACAGAAGTATACAGTCTGGTGGCCTTGTGTCCAAAAGCTATCTTGCCCTACAGGGAAGAGGTTTCCAGCGATTCAAACCCCATGACAACAAACGGAAAGGTAGCCATCGCAACCCTGCTGCCCATTGCAGAAAAGGGCAGATGTCATCCTGGTGGCATCCCTTCTACTTATTAGTGACTTAGGTCCGTGTCCCAGAGATACCTCCTTCCCCCAGGCGCCTTCCGCTGGGTGTTTGGGTCCTCGTGGCTCCACTTTGGGTGAAAGAACAGAGCCTGTCCTTCAGGCTAAGATCCGGGCTCTTTCAATGAGCTCACTCCGACGTGAGGAACAGGTGGGGAGATCCTGTTTCCGAAGCCGGATTTAAAAAGCAACAATACTAACACGGTAACTGCGTGACCCGCGGGCTTTATTTTCATCCGATGATGTCAGCGCTCTTTATAGAATTTGATTTCATGTCCGAAGTGGGGTCCTGTGGTTGGCTTCTCAGCTGTTTGTTATGAGTGGCGAGGGAATCGTGAATTTCACTTTCATAAACATGTCATGGTAGGAAGGAGCCAGCTTCAAAGCAGGTAAAACCTGGAAAAACCACAGATGAGATTTCTGGTTACACCTTGATGCTTGAAGACAAATACAAATGCCTGTTTGAGTGTGAAAGACTGGTGTCTTTGGGTCAGAAAAGCAAAATGGAGAAAACAGAAATCTTTGTGGTCATGCAGAACACCACACCGTCCATCACTTATTCAACGCACACTGACTGGTGGGTTACTCACTCGGAGCCTTATCAAAGCTTTTGGCTGAAACAGTGTAACCGAATTCGACGCAGCAAACATTCAAGGAGTTCTTTACAGTTCAACAAGCCTTGGGGGACCCTGATGATTAAAACAAATCCCCGACTCTTATTGATTAAGACTCATTCAGCTCGTCACTAAGCAACTGATGGCTGTCCTAAGTTTTACCCTCTGCTTAAAATGAGATGTATGTGAAGTTATGCGGCTGTGGCCGGGTCTTCCCTGCCTTGGCTGAGCCTGTCTTCTGGGACGCTCTGCTCTTAGGTCAGCAATGTGACCCCTGCTAGCATGTTGGTCTCCTCCTGTGAGATCTCTGGCCTTTGGAAGCCACCCGAGCTGCAGGGGACACCAGTCTTCTTCTGAAGAAGAGTCAGCGTGCACACGGACCCTCCCCTCAGACAGCCCTCTGTGTCATGGGGCCCACGGTGGTCCTTCAATAAGAATCACTGGGGAACTCTGAACGCCACCTGTAAATGTAAGGATCTAGAAAGCTAGACATCACCTTGCTAGGTAGTTCAGCATACCTGAGGCATCAAAGGGAAAACGACGCTCTAGGAGTCTTGTATCAGGTGGTCATGTGCAGGTGGTTAAATTCCTGTGTACCTGGCACGCAAGAAACAGAGCTTCTTAGTAATGGCAGGGTTTAGGGGACAGTGTGCTTATTCAGGTGATCTGGTGTTCTAGAAGACCTGGTGGTTATGAATTGGGCCGCTAACTGCAAGGTCAATCGTTTGAAACCAGCAGCCACTCCGTGGGAGAAAGATAAGGCTTTCTATTCCCAGAAAGAGTTGCAGCCTTGTGAAACCCACAGGCTCAGTTCTACCTTATAGGGGGTAGATCTATAGGGTTGCTATGGGGTCAGAATTGAGTTGGTGGCAGTGAGTTTGAGACTTCTCCAGCTTTTAGGGAAAGACAATGCGGCTAGGCATCGAGGAAAGCAACACGTGCCTGAGTGGTACACCTGGTTTGTGGGTGGCTGGCCATCAAAAGGTGGGCAGCGTGAGCCCACCCAGTGGCACTCAGGGAAGGGGAAAGCAGGCTGGCAACAGGTGGGTGTAAAGACTGCTGCCAGGAGCCCTGTGGAGCGGTTCCACTCTGTCACATAGAGGGTCTCAGAAGTCACAAGATCCGCCACAAGGACAACAGGTTGCCATTGTAGGGACATCTTGTTAGTCATCAGACCGACACTTTCAGGCACTAGCCAGGAATGGGGGTTCTTACCATTGAATTTCCATTCAAGAGAAAAATTAGCTTGCATCATGGCGGCAGGGGTTGGGGTGGGCCGTCCTGGCTCAGCAGACAGGGCATCGTGGTGGGTCCAGTGAGTGGACAGAGCTCCCTGGCTGAGGGGGATGTGGATGCAGCAGGAGGTGGGTTGAAAGGCCAGGCCTTTTCTGGATCCTGGAGCCCTGGAATTTATGGATGTGATTGTGCCCCAGGAAGGTAAGGGGAGAATAAGGGGGAAGGGTTTGTAGGCAAGGAAACGAGGAGGGCACTCACCTGGAACTGAGGCAGATGTTAGAGAGGGGCCAGCAGGCAGCCATGGGGCTCCTGTCATACTAGACCAGAGACCCAGAGTCTTTGATGGGGTGGGAACTGCAGGGGAGGTTAGGGAACCCAGTTTCCAAGGTTAGTCTACAAAGGGAGCTATACTCACTGAAAGACCAACTGGAAAATATTCTCATCTCAGATTTTTTTTGGCTTCATGCATGTGACCAAGGGTTTATTTTAATGTATTTTTTTCAAAACCATTGTATTAGAGTCTTCTCAGCTTTCATCACATTTTGGTCTCTGTGTGAGTCTGGGTACTTTAGAGAAACAAATCCACAGAAACTCATGTATAAGAGAGAGTTTTATATAAAGGTTAAGTGTGCATCAAGAAAACATCCCAACCCAGTGCTGCCCAAACCCACAAGTCCAACATTAACCCATTAAACCATATGTCCAACACCAATCCACAAAGTCCTCCTCCATCTCACAAAACAGAGGCAATGATGCCGACCACAGGAGGAAAGCTGAATCAGTGAGCGTGTAAGCATCTCAGCGCTGGCAGGGGTCTCTACACGGGTGCTCCAGCACCCAGGGCAGCATCAGGGTAGGTTCATGCGGTTTCTCTGCAGGGATGTCTTGCAGGAAGTGAGCCTTGCCAGCTGAAGCAGGGAACTGGCAAGGCAGCTGCACCCTGGTCCGACCATCACAAAGCGAGAGACCCGAGAACTAGAAAGGCGAGATTCATGGAGCTATTTATCTCTCCACCCTTCAGTTAACCCCACATGTGTTTATCGGCCAGGTTGGCACAATAAACTAACTCAGTCTCCAATGACTTCAGGACACCACCACCACCACGCGTGTACACATACACACACACACACACACACACCCCGAGCCATGGAACTCAAAGCCCTTGAACTCATTGCTCTCAGGGAAGTGCAAATGTCATTTTCTTAGAGCTGTGAAACCATAGCTTTGCTGTTTATGAAAGCCCTTGAAGTACTGCGGTGTGATTATCCTGCTTGATTCTGAAAAAGATAAGCAAATGTGCCTTTTAATAGACTTCCTGAAGTGGGTAAACACCACCAGAATTTTTTACACGAAGTCCTTACTTCAGTTTGCAAGATCCTCCTCCCCTTTACCTCTGATAAAATCTACAGCTATCTCAAATATGGCCACTATCAAACCAGTTTTGAAGGTCAGATGTTCATATGTATAGGTATACATACATAGTCAACACTGGTTAACCTTTAGATCATACTTGGTTACATGAGGCTGTATTTTTCAAGGGATTAAACTAAGGATGCTGTTTATGGAAAAACTGTATAAAGTTTTTATTTATTCAATAAAATATGTATGAGTGGATAAAATATTATCCACTATATTATCACTGCATGATTTTTTTTTTAATGCTTGTTTTGGTAATGCAAGTATAAGTAGCACCTGCTTAGAAATTAAGTGAAGACACAGATATTGAAGCTTTCGGTTGATTCGAGACCATGTAAGCACATTTTGCAGACACGGGTCTCGGCTTTGGCTTACAGACACAAACATGCCCCTTCTAAAGCTGCGTGGCCTCTCGGAGCAAGCTCTCACTGCCGAATTCAGAGACCCTGTCCCACCTTGCCTCACCCTATTTGCCAAGGAGGTCTCTGGTGGGTTCAGCTTCCTGGGTGACTGCTTGACCCTGCTTCTGCCACCCCCATGTTGATGTGTCTGAAACAGAACCTCCGTGTGCTTCTCAAACTGAGCTATATACCTAACTGGGGACGTAAGGCCAGGTGCTGATCACTGGAAAACCTGCCACCAAGGTCCTAGTCTGTTTGGGGACAAAACTCCAGAGCCTTTGCAAACGACAACTGGAGACTTGAAGGAAACATATGGTTTCTTTAGGCCACCCACCTCCGGCCTCCGTAATAAATAGATTTGTTGCTCCGCCTCAGGTCACCTTTGGTGGAAAACCCTGAGAGGCACAGCCTCCTCTCACCAATAGGAGGTGCTGTGGGGCTCGTTTGTGGGTCCAGGAGAGCATTGGCTGTAACCTTCCAGGCTGAGCCCTCTGGTTTCCTGCAGAGTCCAGGGGGATTGAGTCAGGGCCGCTGAGCAACTCCCCCTGCTCCTTGTGATTCCTGCTGGGCTATGGCAGCCTCTGGACCAGCCTCTTACATAGCCTATTGCTCCCTGCCCCTCTGTGCTCATGGCTTGGGTTTCTGCCTCTGTCTGGAGTCATAGTTCAAGACTCCTGGTGCTGGGGACCAGCCGCCCACATCAGTCTGCATGTTTACCAATGAATGTGGCTTTCACTTCCGTGTCTGTTGCCTGGGGAGTTTCCTTTTGTTATCGATTTCTGCTCTGGCAAGCCACACTGAAACCCCTGCCGGCCCCAGCTCTGATCCCTTGGGTGAGCTTCTAACCTGCTGCCTCCCCTGGGACCTCCAGACATACCAACCTCTCCACTCTCCTTGATTCATTTCTAGCTACCCCAGCCCCAGCCAAACCCCAATCCGTACTGTTGAGTAGATGCTGACTCAAAGTGACCCTGTAGAACAGAGGAGAATTGCTCCACGGCTTTCCAAGACTGTGAGTCTTTTTTTCCCATTTAATTTTAATTTATATATTCACTTATTTTAAACATCATTTTACTGGGGGTTCATACAACTCTTATCACAATCCATCCATCCATTGTGTCAAGCACATTTGTACATTTGTTGCCATCATCATTCTCAAAACACATTTGCTTTCTACTTGAGCCCTTGGTATCAGCTTCTCATTTTTTTCCCTCCCTCCCCGCTCCCCACTCCCTTATGAACCCTTGATAATTTATAAATTATTATTTTGTCATTTCTTACACTGTCTGACGTCTCCCTTCACCCACTTTTCTGTTGTCCACCCTCCAGGGAGGGGGGTTATATGTAGATCCTTGTAATGGTCCCTTTTCTCCCCCCACCTTCCTCTTCCCCTTCTGGTATCGCCACTCTCATTATTGGCCCTGAGGGGTTTATCTGTCCTGGATTCCTGTGTTTCCAGCTCTTATCTGTACCGGTGTACATCCTCTGGTCTGGGCAGATTTGTAAGGTAGAATTGGGGTCATGATAGTGGGGAGCAAGAAGAATTAAAGAACTAGAGGAAAGTTGTATGTTTTATTGGTGTTATACTGCACCCTGACTGGCTCGTCTTTTCCTTGTGACCCTTCTGTAAGGGGATGTCCAATTGCCTACAGATGGACTTTGGGTCTCTACTCTGCACTCCTCCCCATTCACATTGATAGATTTTTTATTCTGGGTCTTTGATGACTGATACCTGATCCTATCGACACCTCATGATCACACAGGCTGGTGTGCTTCTTCCATGTGGGCTTTGTTGCTTCTCAGCTAGATGGCCGCTTGTTTATCTTCAAGCCTTTAAGATCCAAGATGCTATATCTTTTGATAGCCGGACACCATCAGCTTTCTTCACCACATTTGCTTATGCACCCATTTTGTCTTCAGTGATCATGTTGAAAAGGTGAAATGCCAGGTTATTAGAACAAAGTGTTCTTGTGTTGGGGGAGGATTTGAGGCCAAATGTTCATATGCTACCTTAATACTAAAACTATAAATATATGTACATAGATTTGTTTCTCTATCATCAAATATAAATATATTTACATATGTACATGTCTATATTTAAACCTTTACAAATGCCCTTTGCCTCCTAGTTCTTTCCTCTATTTCCTTTTACTTTCCTCTTGTCCCACTATCATACTTAGCCTTCATTTGGGTTTCAGTAATTCCTCTCAGTTACTTTGCCCTTGATCAAGCCCTACCAGGCCTCCTACACCCTCCTCACAATTGATTTGGGATCACTTGTTGTTCCCTTGCCCCTGGGTTTGTTAGCACCACTTCCTTTCCCCCACCTCCCTCTCTCTCATGTCCCCCCTGGAACCATCGGATTGTTTATCCCACCTATCTTATCTAGATAGACCTGCAGAGGTAATAATATGCACAAAAACAAGAAAAAGCAAAACAAAGCAACAGAAGTAAGCAAAACAACAACAACAACAAGAGCCAATAATAAAAAAAGAAAAAAGAAAAGCCTATAAATAGTCCCAGGTCTATTTGTTGACCTTTAGGAGTGTTTTCCGGTCGAGTCTGATGGGCCACCACACCCTGGCCCCACAGTCTATTTTTGGTATTCCTTGGGGACTTAATTGCTCCCCTTGCTGTTCTGTTTCATTCCCTTAGTGTTCCACCTCACTGTGGTGGGGTCAGATGGGGCACAA